GTTGGCTGAAAATGTTCTGATAATAGGAGTTTGTCAAAACGTGATGAATACTTATCTTATCTGTGGGTCTTTTGAATTAAATTTCTAAAGTATAATTCTGAAGAATGTTTTTAAAGCACTTCTTAGAGCAGAACAAACAACTCGTGAGGATTTGGAGTGTCATTTTTTCAAACGGCATCAACACATCTTCATTAGAGTTCTCTAAAAACAGGATTCAGAGCTGTCAGGAGTTCTCCCGATAAACAAGTAAACCTCTGAAAGCGCTCATGATATCAGGATGATCCACGTATTAAAATATAATTTAAATACCCAGGAATATGAATGTGTTCATTTGGACCAAATCCCTGATAATCCCTGATTTGATGTGAAGGCTCACATATAAAAACAAGTACTGTGTTTTTCTCTGATTTACATTTTAGAAGAGACCGACTAAAGACTCTTTTTTTTTTTTTGGATGGCCTCCCTTCTCCCCTTACAGCCATCCTCTCCACACCGTTATTATGAAATATTTATTCTAGTGATTATCTAGTGTAGTTTTTTTTTTTTTTTAAATAGGATAGAAAGAAAGAAAAGACAAAGTAAGACTCCAAAATATAAGAAATATACACAAAGAGAGCACACGGCAAAACACCCGGCCACTGTCTGTTCACCTGCAAAGAACATGACAAAACACAGCAACAAAATACATATGTATAAAGACTAAAGACTCTTAATGAATTAATAATTGGTTTAACCTTAATAAATAATCCTGACTGAAGAAAAGCTGCTGCTTCTCGACCTGTTCTATGAATCTAAACATTTAGATAATTATCAGTCATTCATATTAACACAATCCTCCTGCTGTCGTCAGGTTTCTGTCGGAATAAATTAATGTTATGATAAGTTATTTAATCATTAATTAACATTAGATCACAGAGAACGTATGTTCAATAATCCAGTTTGTTTGTTTTACAAGGTTTGTAAGATAAATTTTTCTTGAGCTCGTGTTTGCAGTTCATGAGTTTGGTTTGAGTTGTTTCTGTCAATAATCGAGTGCTTCATTAAAAACTGAACTGGGAGTCCTGAGAACCAGTCTCTGATGTCCACGGTTCTGGGGTTTGTGAACGAGAACCCAGACTTCTGCGTGGCGTCACCCTGAACGCACCGCCAGCTCTCGTGTTCCTGCTCTCGTGTTCCTGCTCTCCGTGTGAATCTGAACGTGTCAGCACAAACGGTTTCTGCTCAATACGGCAAATAAAACACGCACGGCCAGTTCTGTCAGGGAGTCGCACGAGGAGGAACCGGCTGCTGAAACAGCACTTTAACCAGAACTAAAGTCAGTCAAAAGACCTCAAGAACTGGACCAGAAGACACTTCTGTTGGACTGTATCTGAGATCCTGGTCCTGATCCTGGTCTTCTGACTGCAGCAGAAACATCTGCGTCGCGTTTCAATCGGTTCAGAATTGGTTCTGTTTGCAGCCTCAGGTCCAACGTTCTGATTGGACCTGGACACAGATCCAGAGTCAGAACAGCTGGTTGAGAGGACAGCAGGAGTTAACCTGACTCCAGAGTTCTTCTGCCTTCTCAGAATCCAACATGTTTTAAATTCATTTGTTTAAAATGTTTAAATAATTGAGCGATAAATTGATAATTGATCGTTTTTTTGTTCAAACTCATGAATGGAAACGCGTTGACTGAAGAACACGTGTGTCTGTTCGGACCAGTGATGGTTTTATCAGTTCAGGAACTGAAAGGAGACACGTCTTGTCCTCGTCGTCTCTCTGCTGCTGTTTATGCTTCTTCAAGAACTGATCTGAGAACAGCTGGCATTCACTTTCACTCCCTGAATTAGTCATGTCCCATGTAAAGTACACTCCAACTCTGATCGGCTTGGGTATCACCTGAACCGTTCAACTGGAATATTTCAACCTGATCATTTAAACTCTGTGAGGAACCCTCAGGACCTTCAACACAGTCAGAGAAGGCCTAAGAGTTCAGTACATGTGAAATGGTAAATTAAAAATTAAAAATTTATTTTAAGTAAAATTATTTTTTTCAATGTACAATCCGAATTCCAAAAAAGTTGGGACACTAAACAAATTGTGAATGAAAACTGAATGCAATGATGTGGAGATGGCAAATGTCAATATTTTATTCGTAATATAACATAGATGACAGATCAAAAGTTTAATCTGAGTAAATGTAACATTTTAAAGGAAAAATATGTTGATTCAAAATTTCACAGTGTCAACAAATCCCAAAAAAGTTGGGACAAGTAGCAATAAGTGGCTGGAAAAAGGAAATTGAGCATATAACGAACAGCTGGAAGACCAATTAACACTAATTAGGTCAATTGACAACATGATTGGGTATAAAAAGAGCTTCTCAGTGTGTCAGTGTCTCTCAGAAGCCAAGATGGTAAGAGGATCACCAATTCCACCATTGTTGTGCAGAAAGATAGTGCAGCAATACCAGAATGGTGTTACCCAGCGTAAAATAGCAAAGACTTTTAAGTTATCATCATCAACCGTGCATAACATCATCAAAAGATTCAGAGAATCTGGAACAATCGCTGTGCGTAAGGGTCAAGGCCGTAAAACTCTACTGGATGCTGGTGATCTCCGGGACCTTAAACGTCACTGCACCTCAAACAGGAATGCCACTGTCAAGGAAATAACAGAATGGGCTCAGGAATACTTCCAGAAAGCATTGTCAGTGAACACAATCCACCGTGCCATCCGCCGTTGCCAGCTTAAACTCTACAGTGCAAAGAGGAAGCCATTTCTAAGCAAGCTCCACAAGCTCAGACGTTTGCACTGGGCCAGGGGTCATTTAAAATGGAGTGTGGCAAAATGGAAGACTGTTCTGTGGTCAGATGAGTCACGATTTGAAGTTCTTTATGGAACACTGGGACGCCATGTCATCCGGACCAGAGAGGACAAGGATAGCCCAAGTTGTTATCAACTCTCCGTTCAGAAGCCTGCATCACTGATGGTATGGGGTTGCATGAGCGCTTATGGCATGGGCAGCTTGCATGTCTGGAAAGGCACCATTAATGCAGAGAACTATGTTCAGGTTCTAGAACAACATATGCTCCCATCTAGACGTCATCTTTTTCAGGGAAGACCCTGCATTTTTCAACACGATAATGCCAGACCACATTCTGCAGCAATCACAACATCATGGCTACGTAGAAGAAGGATCCGGGTACTGAAATGGCCAGCCTGCAGTCCAGATCTTTCACCTATAGAGAACATTTGGCGCATCATAAAGAGGAAGGTGCGACAAAGAAGGCCCAAGACGATTGAACAGTTCGAGGCCTGTATTAGACATGAATAGGAGAGCATTCCTATTTCTAAACTTGAGAAACTGGTCTCCTCTGTCCCCAGACGTCTGTTGAGTGTTGTAAGAAGAAGGGGGGATGCCACACAGTGGTAAAAATGGACTTGTCCCAACTTTTTTGGGATTTGTTGACGTCATGAAATTTGGAAACAACAGATTTTTCCCTTAAAATGATACATTCTCTCAGTTTAAACTTTTGATCTGTGATTTGTGTTCTATTCTGAATAAAATATTAGATGTTGGCACCTCCACATCATTGCATTCAGTTTTTATTCACAATTTGTTTAGTGTCCCAACTTTTTTGGAATCCGGTTTGTGTATTATATATATATATATATATATATATATATATATATATATTTATTTATTTATTTATTTTAAGTATTTTTAAAAAGTGTTTATAAATAAAAGTGGAAAGTAATAATAAATTGTTTTCTAAATCCGGAAGCCCGTCTCAGATGTCCTAAGTATTTTTATAAGATATCTGAACTGGTGTCTTGTAAATGGTATAATAATAATGAGCTCCACTCAGTACCACCACATGTGTCATTTATGGTGCATTCACACCAGCCCTGTTTAGTCTGCTTTAATTGAACTCTAGCTCTTTTCCTAGGAAGTCCGGTTCGTTTAGGGAGGTGTGAACGCGCCATCGAACTCTGTCACGGAACAAAAAGGCGAACTCTGGCCCGGGCTAAAACCTAGGTCTCGGTCCGGTAGAAGAGAACTCCAGCGCGGTTCAAGTGCAGTGTGAATGTAAACAGACCGGCCCGCTCCGCAGGGTAAACAAACACGCATTTCTCTGACCTTATATGGAGCCGTCAGCTGCCTTGTGTGAAAAACAATATTCTCCATGGTCTTCTGTCTCATCTTCTGCTCATGCTAAGTCCATTTTTGAAAATGACAAAATATAACTCCTAAAACTGCTAAAACTTGATGCCACTTCGATTTAATTTTTATTTACAGAAGAAGAAGAAGACGTGTCTTCAGAGGTTTTTGTGTCGTTTCTTTCAGTAGTTCTTGGTGCAGCGCCCCCTCAGGCGAGCGGGGGAATATGTTGGTTCAACAGGTTGACTCGACTGCACAGTGCAGTGTGAATGCAAACGCACCAGCTCAAATGTAAACAAAAGGTCATGAATATTGGTCCCCAACCGAACCGAGTCTACCGGACTATCTAGTGTGAAAATGACCTTAGTTTTTCAGAATGATCAAAAGCAGTCTACAATATTTATTCTATTTTTATAGCTGAAGTAATTGTTTATCAAATCACGTGTATTGCTCCAAATAGCTGGAGATCCCTCGAAGAGTTTTACGCTGCACAAGAGTTAATTTTATATGCTGACTTTTTTTTATTTTATTGTCTTTGACCAGATTTTGTTTTCATTGGAATTAATTGTTTTATGTTATTTGTTTTTAGTTTGAGTTTTTATTTATGTTATATTTTATACACTTTGGTTCTCTGTGGTTATTGAAAGAGCTTTACAACTGATGTTGGATTGGATTCTAGAATGTTTTTTTTTGTTGTTGTTTTTTTTCCAATAGTCTCCAAATCTACTTAAACCCAGTTTTAAGCTCAGCAAAAACCACCTCCTGGAACACTCTCCAGAACCAGGCCCAGTTTCCTGCTGGTTGACCGTTAGATGAACTGCAGCTTGGTCTGAACCAGTCTGTCTGATTTCAGTGTGAACCACATCTTCTGTCCGGTTCTGATTCTACACGCTGAGGACGACACCGTGGTTCCCTTCCACCTCGGGAAAAAGGTACGAGTCAGAACTTTACAGAATCCAAATAAACTCCAGAGAGACTCAGTAAGAGTTTCCAGGTTCCACACGGACTTGAGTTCTGACAACAAACTCCAACATGGTTCTGATCGGGAAGGAGATGGGTCAAATAACCTTTTTGTTTTTGTCTAAATGTTTGTTTGTCCAGATGTAAACCCTGGACTCTCTTCTCATGCAGTCTTTGTCTTCCTGCAGCTCTATAACGTGGCGTCTCAGTCAAAGAGTCTCAGTGGACACAAAGTTCAGTTCGTTTCCTTTCCGTCGTCTCTTTCCTACAAACACAAGTTCATCTACAGGAGCCCGGAGCTGCCCGGCATCCTCAGGTACTGAGCAGAGCTGCTCTCACAGCTCCACATCGTCACTGCTGCTCTCCTCACACTCTGCTTTTATTTCCAGTGATTTCCTCGGAGCTGCTCATCCCGTCGCCGCATGACCCCAAACACAGTTTGTTTTACAGACAAAGGAACATTCCTCCATCAGCAACTCTGGAGTTACCATGGAAACGTTTTTAACGTTTTTACTAGTTGTTTTCTGGCAGCTGAGCTGCTGATTCTTCCTCCTCGTGTGCATGGTTTCCTCCTCTGTTCTACCTGATCACACGACGCTCACCTGCCTGCAGGTAGCCGTTTGTAAAAACTTCTGTTTGAAGGCTGCTATGACTTGAATTAGAAATTAAACTATTGTTTTATGAAGCTGCCCGAGTGTCGTTTATACATGAAAACTTCTCAGCCTGTGTGAGAGACTGAATTTAATTCATGCATAACAAAACTATCTGATGACAAGAACACCTAAAAGAACAAATTATTATTAAATGAGTCGAAGCAGAAGAGTACTAAAATGTACTCAAAGGTAAAAAGTAGGTCATAGAATATTTTGAGTACAAGTTACTAAGTAAGGTTTTTACAGCAGTAGGTGTGGATGGAATGGTCTGATGCTGTGCCAGAAAGTGTTGGCCATAAATATTTTAGTTTTTATTTTAAGGTTTATGGTTTAAATATAAAGTTGGAAACATCAGAGAAACAAAGTGTTCATTTATTTATTACAGTATTAGACAACATTTTTTTAACTGAGGTTTAATTTGCAAATCTTTAGGTTCAAGGTTATTGTCATTCGCATCAAGTGGTACATGAGTGGAACAAAACTGTGTACTCAAGGTCCCAGTTACCTCCAAAAATAGCTAAAGTATATATCAAAAAATGTATACAAGTATATAAGATATACACTAAAAAATAATATAAGGTGTATTAAACAGCAGTTTAAAAGTTTCATTACAATGATTTTTGTCCACAGTGATTATTCTGGTTAGATATTCATGAGTAACAGCCTCAGGGTAGAAGCTGTTCCTCAGTTTAGTGGTTCTACACTTAATGCTCCTCAACCTCCTTCCTGAGGGAGCAGGGCAAAAAGTGTGTGCTGGGTGAGTGGGGTCCTTCATGATGCAGGTGGTCCTCTTCCTGCATCTGGAGGTGTAGATGTCTGTGATGGTGGGGAGGCTGACTCCAACAGACTTCTGTGCAGCCTCCATGCCACACGTTGATGCTGGAGCACAGGATGCTCTCCACTGCACACCTGTAGAAGGAGGTGAGGACTGAGCTTCCCAGACCAGCTCGCCTCATCCGCCTGAGGAAGTAGAGTCTGATGAGCTTTCTTGATCAGGCTGGTGGTGTTGCTCCTTCAGCTGAGGTTGTCATTCAGGTGCACATCCATGTACTTGTAGCTGGAGACCACTTCCACTGCAGATCCTCCTATGTTGGGGGGGATTCACAATCATCACACTATGAAGGTCATGTTTGATTAATTTAGGGACTTTCTTTCTGCTAACGGTACTTGAACATTAAAAACCAGGACTGTATGTTAATAATGCTTGCAAACAATTCAACTCAATTCAAAGTTTATTTATATAGCACATTTAAAAACAACCACAGTTGACCAAAGTGCTTCACAAGAATACATCGTAGCTAAAGGGAAAAAAAAACCTGACAAAAATTGTGTTTCATACTGCATTTATTTAACAAATTACTGATACTTTAGTGAATATTTGTAGTGCCTTTTAATAAATATACTTATTACCTTTACTTTATTGTATGTACTTATTCATTCAACCTTTATTTATACAAATTAATCCCATTGAGCCTCGGGGACTCATTTACAAGAGAGACCTGAATTTGAACAGAGCGCTGACAACAGTGAACAACAAAGACAACAATAGACAGTCATAAAGGATGCGTACAAATTTATTTTTTTAACCAGTGAAAATAAAATGGTAATTAAAAAAATAATTAAAAGGAAAAGTAGTGAAAAAACAGCTAGATTGTAAGGCGGTGTAAAATACTAAAAACAGGAAAATGTCTGCATTGCTTTTCAGAATCAGAATAAACTTTATTGGAATTGCACCGAGGTACAACGCGAATATGTACATACAGTCGTCCGAAAGATGGGTGGAGTGCACGAAGCTGCAACTACAGGAGAGCGCGGCCATTTTATCCTTATCAGATAATAATCTTAGATAGGAAAAGGGGGAGAAACATGAGGGTAGATAGTGGTATTACAAAAAAGATCTTTCACATCTTGTCTATCAGGACACGATTTGAGACATCAAAAAACTCTCCCAGCAGCACAATTAAAACATGATTACATTTGCATTTGACATCAAGGTGTTGAGATTTGTCCATGAGCTTTTTTTTTTTTTTCAGATCAGCCACAGTTTCTGAAGATGTTGTTCCAGCCAGCAATTCTGATAAGCTTGCACAGAAGGTTCTCGGGTGTGTGTGTGTGTGTGTGCAATAGTTAAAGCTTTTGTTCTTGGGTACTCATGTCCCAGGAGAAATTTGATAGTCAGCCCGTCTCCGAGGCCGTTGGGAGTCAGATTATCCATCCATCCATCCATTATCTTTACCCGTTTATTCCATTTTGGGTCACGGGGGTCGCTGGTGCCCATGTCCAGCAATCACTGTGCGAGGGGCGGGGTACACCCTGGACGGGTCACAAGTCCATCACAGGGACACATAGAGACAAACAAACGAGACAAACAACCATTCACTCTCTCACTCACACCTAGGGACAATGTAGAGTTACCAATTAGCCTAACATGCATGTTTTTGGTCTGTGGGAGGAAACCGGAGCACCCGGAGAAAACCCACACATGCACGGAGAGAACATGCAAACTCCACCCAGAAGGCTCCTGGACCGGGGATTGAACCAGGGACCTGTTCGCTGAGAGGCAGCAGCTCTACCAGTTGCGCCACCATGCTGCCTGGAGTCAGATTAGATAAGCTTAATATTTGTTTTTCTTCAGGCAGACATTTTTTCTTCAGCCTTGAGTCCATCTGGGCGTTCTGGTTCCGAAAAAGCCTAATTGTGGAATTTAGTTTCACTGATCCATGCTATGAGTCTCCTTCAAGGTCGAACCCACCACGCTGACGAGTCCCAGAAGCCGCAGGTGGTCTGCGATTCTCAATCGCCTCCACCTTACGGTTAAGCTCGTAGACCAGACAATTTAAAGTTCCCACAGCGAGTACCAGACCTTCACACTGACTCGGAAGCTTTTCCATGGCCAAAACTGTTCCCGATGTCTTCTTCAAAAGTCAATAAAACAGAGCCCAGCCGATGCCAAAAAGCAGAGTCCCTGCTTCATAAGTCCAAATATGTAAACGTCTTCAACATCTTCTTGAGACAGAACAGAGAGGCACATCATCTGCCACACTCCCCACAAATCCATGACGTACCCCACAGCGTGAGTCTCAGCTGGACATGTCGGTTCTCCAGGACCTTGTCGCTTTGATGAAAAAATCTTTTCAATAGAGTTGAACGCCCACGATACCAAATCCATAATCTTCTTAATTTATGTTCGGGAGATGAGACACAGGCGCTTCAGACAGAGAGCAGAGCAGGAAGAAGGAAAAAAACAGGGGAGGAGAAATTGAAGCTGTCGCTTCGATCAGAGCCTGGGAGGAAACTTGCTAGGAACTTAACAGATGTTTAAAGTCACTTAGAGAGGTCAAGGTCGAGAGCTTCAGATCTTTTTGCAAGATATTCCAAGAAACAGGAGTGGTGTAGGAGAAGGCCCTTTTGCCTTGTTCAGTCCTCACTGAGGGAACACTGCAGGTAGTCAGGGCACCTCTGGCTAGCACATAAAGGGCTGTGCGGCCATCCAAAAAAATGCCTCCCCACACCATGACTGACCCATCACCAAACCGGTCATACTGGAGGATGATGCAGGCAGCATAACGTTCTCCACAGTGTCTCCGAACTCTGTCATGTCTGTCACATGTGCTCCGTGTGAACCTGCTTCCATTCATGAAGAGCACAGGGTGCCAATGGTGAATCTGCCAATTTTGGTGTCCCCTAGCAAATGCCAATCGGCCTGCACAATGTTGGGCTGTAAGCACAAGCCCTATATGTGGACATCGGGCTCTCATACCACCCTCATGGAGTCTGTTTCTGACAGTTTGAGTAGAAACATGCACATTAGTGGCCTGCTGGAGGTCATTTTGCAGGGCCCTGGCAGTGGACCTCCAGTTCCTCCTTGCACAAAGGATGGGGTAGTGGTCCTGCTGCTGGGTTGTAGCCCTCCTATGGCGCCCCTCCATGTTTCCTGGTGTACTGGCCCGTCTCCTGGTACCTATTCCATGCTCTGGACACTGTGCTGAGAGACAGCAAATCTTGCCACCGCTCGCATTGATGTTCTAACTTGGATTAGCTGCACTACTTGAGCAACTTCAGTGGGCTGTCAGAAACACCTCATGATGCCTTTATGCATGGCAGCACTGACAAAATGAAAAAGTGACTAAAAGTTCAACCAGAAACGATGAGAACAGAGAAATGACCTGTGGTCACCACCTGCAGAATCACTCTTATAGGGGTTGTCTTACTAATTGCCTCTCATTTCACCTGTTGTGTGTTCCATTTGCACAGCAGCAGCTGAAATTGATTCACAATAAGTGTTACTACCTAACTGGTGACATTAGTGACACAAAGGTGTGACTGATTTGGATTTACATTATTTATTTAGGTGTTCCCTTTATTTTTTTAGCAGTAATATATATATATATATATATATATATATATATATATATATATATATA